TGGACAGTCTGTCAATGCTTGGACCTGGTTGACTAGTGGCTGCAGACAGCCACCGCCCCTGGTGTATCCCAAATAGGTGACTTTGTGGTTCCCTATTTTACATTTTGCCAGATTAGCCATTAGGCAGGCATCTGTGAGGGCCTGGAGAACTGCTACAAGGTCTTTATGTGGCTGTCCCAATATCATTGTCTACAGTCAAGGTCATCCCAGTAGGCAGGTGCATGCTGCCCATGTGGCTAAATCCAGTACAATAGCCTCTAGAAAGTTGCCACTGCCCCATGGAGATCAAGAGGCATGAACTGGAATTTATACAAGCAGAAGGGCATGGACAAGGCCATCTTCTGTCAGGATTCTGGCATCAATTGTATTTGACAGTAACCTTTCAAGAGACCTAAAGTGGCTATATATCAGGCCACTCCCAATTGTTCTAATAGTTCATCCACCCTTAGTATCAGGTAGTTATCAAATTTTGATATTGCATTGATCTTGCAGAAATCAGTTCAGAAACTGATCATGTCATCCTGCTTTGGCACTAGTACAATTCACTCCAGGGTCCTGAATTCATGCACGTACATAAAAAATAGCAAATATTTGTCTGTTTTAATGTTTTCTTTAGTTGTTTCTGAAGTACAATTAAACCAAATTGTGAAAGCTACTACCGGACAACATACTCTGCTGACGGTGCTATACAGAGTCTGTAATAAGCAATAATGACTGAATGAACACAGAGAATAAATAACATTTATATTATGTAGCCCATTACCAAGCAGAAAACGTTACGTTAGATACACACGTATATACACACATTCTGGATGCTGTCTTTGTCCAGACATGTACAGGGTTGTATTTTTTGTAAATAGGATCTGCCTGCTGCCGATTTCTGCCTTGTACAGTGTTGTGCATGTGTATGTTTTAATTATAAGGTACGTCCTGTTTTGTTTTGAGACTTTCAAAAAGAAAAATGAATTGGGCGTGACCTGCCCAGGGAGAGTTATAAAAACAAAAACCTCTGATGGGTATGCAGTCTGTTTTGACTTGCCCTTGGTTTAGAGGGAAGAAAACAATTGGGAAAAACATGCTCATAGATCAAATTTGCTGGAAGGAGAAATCCTGGGCCCAGGCTCTAATCACTGGAGAAATTTGAAGTGCTGGAGGATGGGAGCGGGAGGAGAGTTAGGGCAGAAGGAAAACAGTCATTTGAAAATACTCCAGGAAATGTCAAAATGGTCACCAGAGAGTTCAGTTTTCAGGCCTCTGGTGCAATTTCCATTGACATCTCCTTGCACTTCAATGGGAGCATCTGTATCATTATTATTATGAGGCCATAATTAAGAAGGATATTATTGACTGAGACGTGAGTAGTGGTGAGCATACTAGTTCCCATTGTAGTCAATGGGAGCAAGGGTACTTAGTTCCTCTCAAAATCAGGCCCTAAGTATTAAATGTCATACTCTAGCCAGATGGCCTATGTTTAACGTTTCTCAATGTTAATTCTTCTTGGTGTGTAACTTCAGTTTTGTTCCTGGAGTGGTGGGTGAAATTCCGTGGCCTGCGTTGTGCAGGAGGTCAGACCAGATGATCATAATGGTCCCTTCTGACCTACATATCTATGAATCTATGAAATCCTATAAAGGGTGCATCTTTATTTTGCAGATGCACAATAGAGAAAGAAGTGCAGAAATGTAAGCCATGGTTCCCTCGTCCGCTGGTTAAGAATTTATGTGTTGGAAAGGGATTTGTTCCAACCAAGTAAGTGGAATTATTTGGCAGCAGGGTTGTTAACATTAAACCTGTAATGGAATGTGAAATGTGAACATTTATTTGATGAACCAAAAGCAGTGTTTCTTTGAAATATACGGGGCCAAATCACTCTCAGAGTGATTCGACTGGCTCTCTTGGCTGAATTTAGGCCGCTGAGATACCACAATGCTCCAAGCCATCTTGATGGGGGCTGAATATCTCTGATAGAAAGTAGCAGCCTGACATGGCCAAGACAGCCAAAGAAATGTGTTCAAGGAAATAAGTACTGGACTGAAAGCTATTGATTTGGTCACATCAGTAGTGTTGGATGTGAGGTCTCCTATTAACTGGCAATGTGGTATTAATGCACTATGAAATTCAGTCTGTTTATCCGTCTCCATCAAAGAATGGAAGGAAATTAGGACAAAGGCTCATTGTTTATTCAAAATTGTATTTTTATTTATCTTTTGGTTCTTAAAAGCCGCTTGGCTTACATCTCCTCGGGGCAGAGGCATCAATTTAAAGACATCACTGATGAAACAAACAACTCAGGGAGAGCAACAGAGACATGAAAGCAACTTAGCCTCTCAAAGTGCCTCTGGAGGTAAAAGCCTGAGTAAATAGGCTTTGCAGTGAGCTTTGGAAGGCAATGATCTCTGGCTTTGTCAGACCACCCAGGAAGCTGTGTTACCTGCCATAGGGAATGCTCTGATTTTGACTCCTCAGAGTTCAGATCTAGGGACCATTAGCAAGAGCATCTAAAATTATCTCAACTGTTGGGATAGAGCATAAGGAGAAATGTGGCACTGGTGCATGGATACGACAGCATCAGTGCCTTGGACCCCCATCCTACAATGGGTTGCACATGGGTGGATCCTTGCATCCCTTTGTATGTTGCCACAATACCATTAGGGGGCTCTGCAGAGACACAGCGGTGCTTTGGTGTGCAAACATTGCAGGACCCGAGCCGAAAAAAAATATAAATGGATAGATAGAAGGTAGACAGAATTTTTTGAGTAAATCCCACTAATTTCCATGGGCTGCTAATCAAAACAGAGGGTTCTGGCTACCTGATTTTCTACTATGCTCTTTTAGTCACGCCATTAGGCCAAGGGCAAATGATTTCAGAGATATTGCTGTACATCTACCTGCACATTTGCCCACAACTAGAATTGACCCCACAGAAAACATTTTTGAAGGTTCCAAACTGTTCCATTCCCATTTTCTTTACTTTGCAATTTTGTTCATTTCTTTGTTTCCCAGATACAGCTGGGATGGTTAGTGCCAAATTCAGCAGAATCCTTCATGACAAGCATTATCAGCAATGGAAAACTGGGAAATCTTCTGAGTGATATTTTGTAGCCCAAAGATGGTAGGTTAGTCAGGGTAAGCTCTGTGGAAGTATTCAAATCTTGGGAAGCTTAAACAAATTGAACCAGGACACAAATAGTTTGAGATTCTCTCATCACCGCTAATCATGCTGGGTACAATTTTCAAAAACTCCCATGAGATTCAGGATCCTGAGTACCATTTTCATAAGTGATCATTTGCACTCCAGGATTTTTGAAAACTTTACTGGCTATCTTTTTCAGGTAGTTCCTTTTATGCCAGCAGAGACATATATCTTTGCCAGGGGTTCTATTCTGTCAGGAACCATGAGTCTTGAACACTGGGCCATAGGGCATTTTTGGAACCAGTACGTTCCAACCTGGCCACCCACTGCCCTACTAACTGTCACCAGAATAGGAGTTGACCCTTGATAGAGGACTCCAGTCCTGGGAGTTGATTGGCTGAGTGCTGGGGGTCCTCATTTGTTCACAGCTCCTATTTAAACCCAGCAGAGGAACAGGAAGTTGTCCACGTAAGTGGGTTCATCCTGCTTAGGACTGCTTCCTTGGCAATACTGGCTCCTCCTGCCTGCTGCTGATCTCCTGGTAACCTGACTCTGCCTGTCTCCTGACACCTGAGTCCTCGTTTGCCTTCTGGCCTGGCTTGGACTCTGATTTCCTGGTGTCTGACCTAGCCTGACTGCCAACTCCTGCTCTGACCACTAGGTCAGACTGCCCATGTCCTGGTTGTGACATATTCAGACTCCTAGCTACTTCAGTTAAACTCCTGAGGATCTCCCATTGGTCAACTATGTTTTACCCTCATGTAAAGCTCTGCCTCTCTTTGGACAGCAGTGGTATTAATTCTCTTGCTTCAGCTAGGCTATTGGAATGAGGACCCTCCTTTAAAACTGACATGAGTGCCACGCCAAGATTAGGAGGTATTCAAGTGATGAGTGACCATCACTCTTCACCTATATCACCTCAGGGACACAAGTCCATCAGAGTGAGTAGCTGGAGATTCAGTGTTATTTCTGACTCTCAGTCTCTTTGAAAAACATACAGAGCCAGGGTTTCAGTGCTGGCTTCCTTTTTTACAGGCACAGACATTACCATTTAGACAAAAGTACTGCCTGCCTGAGCCCTGCTCACTGAATGCCAGGCATTGCTGCATTTCACTGGTCATCATGATCCTCACTTCTAACCAAGGAGCATTTGGTGTTCCTCAAGATGGTGCTGGTGACAACGTAGCTTGAAGCTATCTTTGTCCTTCATTGAGCCTGAAAAGAGCTATCTCCTAGGCATACACTAGAGGAGATGAGCCTGAGCACAGCTTTAATTTATACCAGCTGCCAGCAGTCCCAAGGGGGCATTATGGTAGCTGGGAATCAGCCCTGTATGAGAGCCCTGACCATACCTCCTTATTCTGGCCACAGCCCCTGCCCCAGTGACTATCTGCATATACACATATGTACAGATACATGAATCTCTTATATAAAACTCTCAGACCAGCTACCCACAGTGGGAGGGCCGGATTAATGCAGGGTCTTTAGGGCTGCAGCCCATGGCCTCGGACTAAGAGGGTCTCTGTAAAAATAAATACATAATTATATATAATTCAGTGGTCACCAACGTGTCGATCACAATCGACTGGTTGATCCTGGAACCTCCGCCAGTCAATCGTGATCTCCAGGCCACTAAAAGTCCAGCAGCACAGCAGGGCTCAGGCAGGCTGCCTGCATGCCGCGGCCCCACACTGCTCCCGGAAGCGGCTGGCTGCTGGCACGTCTCTGCGGTCCCTGGCAGGGTGTGGGGGAGGAGGCTCAGCATGCTGTCCCCACCCTCAACACCGTCCCCACAGCTCCCATTAGCCAGGAACCAGCCAATGGGAGCTGTGGGGGTGGCGCTTGTGGGTGCAGGCAGCACAAGGAGACATGCTGTTCTCCTTCCCCCCAGGGGCGTACAGAGATGTGCCAGCAGCCAGCTGCTTCTGGGAGCAGCATGGGTCTATGGCAGGCAGACAGGCAACCTGCCTGAGCCCTGCTGCACCGTCGGCCAGGAGCCACCTGTGCTAAGCACCTCCCAGCCAGAGCCTGCACCTTGCATTCCCCTTCTGCACCCCAACCTCCTGCCCCAGGTCAGAATCCCCTCCTGCACCAAACTCCCTCCCAGAGCCCGCACCCCTCACGCTCTCCTGCACCCCAACATTCTGCCCCAGCCTGGAGCCCCCTCCTGCACCCAAACTCCCTCCCAGAAAGAAACTAATATAACAGCTGTTCTAAGGTAAGAAGTAGGCTATTTTGAATTAACTTAACTATACTCTACATGTTTTAAGACTGAAATGTAACCACATATGGTTTTATGTTAATTAAAAGGCAATTTTAGTATAGTGTTAATAGCCTCTATGCCATAATTGTGATGGTTTTGTTTTAAATTAGGGAAAAGACTTGTATACAGGGACCCCACAAAATCTAATAGCCCTGGGCCTACAGGAGAGTTAATCTGGCCCTTCACAGAGGGCAGGCTGTAGGAGCTGATACCTATGACTATGCCACCTGAGGCTCCCCCTGCAGTAGGGTGATTCCTTTCTGTGGCTGTGGGGCAGCTTTGCAGTGATGGGGTGGCCAGGGGAGAGTCAGGCTTGTAGTTTCTAAAACACCATTCATGGGGTTGTACAGTTGTAAAGGCCTTGTATAGTCACCCTGGTGGTTTGTGTGCCTTCTGATTAAGGAAATACCGTAAATGCTTGGAAAAGCCCCAGTGAGAAACAGAGGGGAATTTGGACTCTTCAAATACTTTTGTTGCAAACAAGTCCCTAAACTCTTTTTTTCCTGCCTACTGTACTGTCCGCACACAGGGACCAGCAGCCAATTGGATTATAGCACTGTTGATTACTCACAATTCCCTTCCTGTGAGGACAGGCCCTGATGTGTTGTTTTTTGATAACACTGGCTCCTTTAGAGCAATAATGCTGGTACAGCTTCCTGTCTAATCGTAAAACAATTACTGCACCTCGAAAGGGAAAACATTTTGGAGAATCCTGTTTTAGCTCGGAAGTGATAATAGAAGCATTTTCTTGCTAATCAATGGTTTGGCTTTCAGTTTCATTAAAACATCCCCTCTGGCCACATGACCAGTGTTAAGTAGACTGGAAGGCTCAGGTTTGGAGACTGGGTAGAGATGGACCTAGTCTCAACATCTCAATCTGGAGCTGAATTTCCCCATTTTTTTCAGGGGAGAGAAGCTGGGGTTTTTGTTTGGGCCCATCTCCAGTAATAGGATATGTAACTTTTCACTTCTAGGTCCCTAGTCTGAATTAGCCCCAAATTGGTAGTGACCAGCAGTTGCCACCATGTAATGGGTGTTCAGTGGTCTATGCGAAACAAGCTAATGGTCTTCCTCCGATGGATAGTTTCCATGTTCCTCACTGATGGCAGTCACACCACTACAGCTGGTATTAACTGAACCCTTGCTCGTAATTTTAACAACAAAACCAAAGACTTAATGGCCTGAGGAATGAACCACCCTGTCACCTGTGGAAGTGGTCTGGCAGGCCAGGGCTAAGGTACAGTGGGGTAAAGTGGGGTGAGTTTGCACTGCCTTGCCTAGGCTGTATGTGTCTTGTGCATGAGGTGGGACCCTCACTCTCCAGGACTGGCACCTGTCATCAGCATTTGAGAAAATATTAAACAAGAAAACCAAGGCTGACTGCTCCTGATCTGCACAAAAGCTTCCTGAACTCTCTAGACTGTGAAGACTAATGTTCTAATAGATTGAGTGGCAGACATGGAGCAATATAGAGGAGACTAGCAAAAACTCTGTATTCATGAGTTAATGTATTGGTGGCAGGATAACTCTGGAACTCAAAGACTGGAGAAAACCCTGGGCCTGATTCTCCTCTCACTTACCCCAGTTGGTGTTATTCCATTGACTGCAGTGAAGTTACTCCAGATATACACCAAGTTAGCAGAGCAGAAACAAGCCCAATAGGTGTATGAAACATGGGACTCACAATAGTATTTGATGGAGAACAGGTTCTGTACTCTAGCTAGTCATCAAGTTTCACACAACAACTACACACTGTGTAAAGTTCTGTACAGACTCCTTTACTTTCCTTTGTGAATTTAACAAGTAGTAAGAAGAAGCAAAGTCCTACTAACTAGTCCAGGATTTCTGTTTTAAGAAGGCAGATTCTTTGAATCTCACTTTTTTTAACAAAAAGTGTTCAACGTAGCGTTTAAACATCTTTCTAGGAAAGAGGATTTCTTTTCCAACAGAGTGATAAATACAAAATTAAAAAGTAGTGTGATCTGGACTGGGACTCAGGACACCTGGGGTGAAAACCTTGCCCCACTGAGGTGGAAAAGCTTCCATTGACTTCAGTGGGGTTAGGATTTCACTTCTGGATTCTGTTTCCAGCTCTGTGTCTGACTCACAGTGTAACTTTGGGCAAATCCCTTAAACTAAACAACATATTACTTAAAAGCATCACGGGTATTGTGTGACTTAATGGATTGTTAAAAGTGCTTTGAGATCCTTCAGTGAAAAGATAAGTACAAAGTAGTATTAGTTTTATGTGACAGGGGAGCACCCAGACTTGTGACATATTTCCACTGATCACTGCTTTATTGCATTTTCTAGGAGCTGTAAACTCATGCACCTCCATCTCAGGCCAGGGTGTGCGTCTTTGAACTCCCTGCTGGGGGACTCTACGGATACAAAGGGTGTGTGTCTGTGGTGAGAGAAGCACTATCTTACTGAAGTAGAGCAGAGAAAGGAAATGACTCAATCATCAAAAGGCCCTCCTTCCTCAGGGAACTGTCCCTAATCAGTATTATCCCCTTACAATAATACTATTTCAGAGGCACTGTGAACCAGAGCACCACGTAGCCATGTAAACTGCTTCCTGTATTTGCCAAACAAAACAGCATTCAGCAATTAATAGAATTTAGCTATTAGCTCTGCTATGATATGCATCCAATGAAGTGAGCACGAAAGCTTATGCTCAAATAAATTTGTTAGTCTCTAAGGTGCCACAAGTACTCCTTTTCGTTTTGCGAATACAGACTGACAGGGCTGCTACTCTGAAACAAACATTACAGCTAGTCATATGGCCATTCTTGGTACCATGCATCTCCTATGGAGAATCCTTTTCATTTTAGAGGGTAGTTTACCTGCTGTGCCATAACACTTTTGCCAGGAAAGAACAAACCTGGTTTGTTACATTTTGCTTGGCTTAAAATGTCACAGCTGTGAAAATTGTCCTCATTACCCTTGCAAGAGTTATTGCAACGCTTTGCTCCTGGGACACCCTGATTAGTCATTGATGTAGTATTAAGCAGGGATACTTTGTGTTACTTGCCAGGGACCCTGTAAAATCTCTACCTTTTTGATGCTTGATAATAGAAAGAGGCAGCTACAAAAGTTGGCAGTGAAAGCTACAGAATAAAGCGATGGGCACTCCAGAGCTCTGGGACCGGGAATATTGCAGAGACTCCGCTCTTTATAATTAACTGTGATTAGACACAGACACAGATGTGCAGCATCTCAGCAACAAATGAACCATTTGTTCATCTTTAATGCTGTAGGAGGGAAATGCATAAGATTGGCAAGAAAATGCACCTTGTAGCTTTCTTTCATTTCCCTCATTCTTTTTTTGATCATCCTCAATCAGTCACCCCTCCTGCTGATACAGTCACCTGGAGGTGGTGGTGGGAGTTGGCTATTTGCATATACAAGTAAAAGGCAGCCAAGATGCCCAATTACCCTCTTAGCATATACTAATAGCTCCCTGTTTATCCACCAGTGTGGATCTTCACTTATGGGAATGAGAATATTATCATATAGCTGGATACATTTAGTGTGACCATTTTCAGATGACAACTTGTCAAAGCCTCCACATGCAGGTTTAATTATAGAATACAGACTTTAGCAGGGTGTCATGAATTTATGGTGGTTTCAAAATGGGGGTATAAAGTCAAACTTTGGGTCTGATTCTGGGGCTTTCTGCATTGGTGCAGGAACACTTTTTATAATGGGGATGCTGAAGGCAGAAACCATGTAATTTGGGTTGTTATTACTATTTCAAGCGAGGAGTATGGCAGCACCCCTAGTTCCAGCACTAAGGTTTTTCTGCTAAGCCTCAGAACTCTGAGATGTTTCAGTCAGGCAGAGAGTAAAACCACTTCCCTGGGAATGAAGTATTTGAACATAAAATGGACCTTTTTTGATCACAGAAACTCACCCAAGAAATCTCAATTAACTCATCATGATTTCTGTATCAATAGGAATGATGAAAAACAGAAAGTTGCTACAGCTCATGGCTGCACCATAAATAGTATCTCCTCATTGCAGGGGGCAAAAATAATTGGCCAAATTAATATCTGATGTAATTCCATTGACGTCAGTACAGTTACACAGAGGAGGAGATTGTCCCTATGTATTTTCTTATATATGTGATAGTGACAAATGTAATGCCTTGTTTCAGCACCTGCAGAAAGACTGCAGTTTGAAATTGTATGAAAACACCCCTGCCATATGAGTCCAGAGGGGATTATGGAGCAATAAGGAAGCTGTAAACTTGATGGAATCCTGGTCAGGAATAACATGAAGGATCTTGTGAAGCAGCACGTTCCCTTAAGTACATTGTATACAACTAGCAACAAAGGTCAAATCTGAATCCAAATGTGAAGGTTCAGGAAAGTGGTTCCAGTTCAATATGCATGAAACGTGGGCAGCAATGAATGGTGACAAAAATACATCAAGTTCCTGTAAGAAATCTTTTTTTTGTTATTATTTCAGTAAACTACTGTAGTGATAGCTCTGGACCTTTATAATATTAATTGTCACACAAATATCTTTTAATATTCCTCATAACAAATATAACCAACCTTCAGTGCTAAAGTCTTGGAGGAGAAAATTAGGGTTGCGGTTTCAGTGTTTGATATGAACCTGAAACTCTCAGAGCTTCCCCTGATTCCTGAAGAGGGCACAAGGCCTGATTCTTCATTCATATTCACTGCGGTAAATCAGGAGTGACACCAGTGAAGCCAACAGAGTTACACTGGTTTAAGTGGGAGGAGAACCAGGCCTTGGTTTGACAGGGCCAAGGTCTGACTGGCTAGAGAGAAAGTTCAGCAGAGGGTCATTGAAACAGAAATGAAACTGCTGAGCTTTCAGGTTTGGTTTTTACATGTGAAACAAAACAACATATAAAACCTCAGAGCTGTCTCAGCCTTTAGCCACATTCTATTCATGACGCTTAAATCCATAAAAAGAACTAACTATGAACATAAACCCAGTTAGCTAGTTCCCTGTAACACTCCCTACTTTGGATTCTGCCCAGCAACTCCTGTAACTAGCCCAGATTCTTTTCAAGAGTCTGAGTCTAACTAGGCTCAGCTGCCTCTAATTCTTTCCCAACTAAAGTGTCTCAAAACCCCACAACCACTATCTGACTCAATATAGCCCCTTTCAGGCCACTCCTAGCATAGGGCTAGGGAGCACAGAACACTACCTTCAACTCATCCTTGTCTAGGACAAGTTTCAGAGTAACAGCCGTGTTAGTCTGTATTCGCAAAAAGAAAAGGAATACTTGTGGCATCTTAGAGACTAACCAATTTATTTGAGCATGCTCAAATAAATTGGTTAGTCTCTAAGGTGCCACAAGTATTCCTTTTCTTTTTGTCTAGGACAGTGGTTCTCAAACAGGGGTACAGGTACACATATCCCTGGGGTATGCAGGGGTCTTCCAGGGGGTACATCAGCTCATCTAGATATTTGACTAGTTTTACAACAGGCTACATAAAAAAACACTAGAAAAATCAGTACAAACTAAAATTTCATATGACTTGTTTATACTGCTCTATGTACTATACACTAAAATGTAAGCACAATATTTATATCCCAATCAATGTATTTTATAATTATATGCTAAAAATGAAAAAGTAAGCAATATTTCAGTAAGAGTGTGGCTGTGACACTTCTGTATTTTTATGTCTGATTCTGTAAGCAAGTAGCTTTTAAGTGAGGCAAAACTTGGGGTACGCAAGACAAATCAGGCTCCTGAGAGGGATACGGCAGTCTGGAAAGGCTGAGAATCACTGGTCTAGGGTAGCAAAGGGGTGCAGCCTGTGACATCTCTATTCTCCTCATGTCTTCAAAAGGTGACTGTCTGGCCAGTCCCCACAGCCTGTACTTTTGGGGGAGTGGTAGTCAGCAAGCTCATCTCCACGCATCACATGCAGAATATCCAGCTTCTTCAGGGCCTGATACATCAGCAGTAGCTGGACTAGGGAATGCTCCTCATTTTCTACCGCTGCCATGTATTCTGATGTCTCCACGCTAATGGGGACTAACAAAGCAAACAAGACACTCTAACTTCTCTCATCCAATTCCCTTTGAGAGGAAACAGTAATTAGTGATAGTAATGGTAGTAAGCTCCATATTTCTAATGAGCAGACACATTTCAACAGAACAGAGTTAAAATATTGTAAAAAGAAAAGGAGTACTTGTGGCACCTTAGAGACTAACAAATTTATTTGAGCTGTAGCTCATGAAAGCTTATGCTCAAATAAATTTGTTAGTCTCTTAAGGTGCCACAAGTACTCCTTTTCTTTTTGCAAATACAGACTAACACGGCTGCTACTCTGAAACCTTAAAATATTGTGCAGCCCGGCTGTCCATGTCACTGGCTTTCCTCCTTTCACAGCTGCACCATCCTCTTGGCCAGAAGTAAAATTCTCACTTCTCCAAACATCCCCACTCCTCCTAAGTTAGTTTCACCAAAATAAATTGGTTCCGAATAAATAGTTTCCCTTCTGATTTGCTAGCCTTACCTCCCACGAACATATCCTTGTTCAAAGCAAGTCATAAGCAATAGGGATCCAAAATGAGCTTAACATCTACAATAACCCAAGGCAGATTGCAAGTGGATCCCTTGTTTGTTATGGCAACTGAGCAGGAAAATCCTCTTCCAAGATAACAGCATTAAATTCAGGAAGAGCAGAGGCCTGGTAAATAAAAAAATGGACAATATAAGAAACAAAAATGGTTAGCTATGTTTCATATGGGTTAGGAAACAGGTCCAGGATGGGTCAGAGTAAACTGATACAGGGTCAATAGTTAAGGGAATACTGATTAGGAGGACAGATGACAACAGACTCCAAAATTAAAATCTTTCCTGCTTGAATTGGAAAGGAATAGAAAAGGCCAGATCCTGCAGACCTTTGTGGCCCTGCCACTGGCCTGCTGGGCAAGCTGGGGAAAGTCACTTCACCACTCTGTGCCTCAGTTTCCCCATCCATAAAATAATTATACTGGCCTCCTTTGTAAAGTGCTTTGAGCTCTACTGACAATAAGCACTGTATAAGAGCTAAAAGAAAAGGAGTACTTGTGGCACCTTAGAGACTAACCAATTTATTTGAGCATGAGCTTTCGTGAGCTACAGCTCACACGAAAGCTCATGCTCAAATAAATTGGTTAGTCTCTAAGGTGCCACAAGTACTCCTTTTCTTTTTGCGAATACAGACTAACACGGCTGTTCCTCTGAAACCTGTATAAGAGCTAGGTATTATTGTTATTATTTGTTAAGTCAGATGCCACTGTCTTCACTGGGATTTTATTTAAATACGTACCAAAGGCTCAGATCCAAAGAAGACATAAAAAATGCATTAGGCTCCCCGCCAATAACAAACCCTAATCTACCTAAATAACACTTTGTAATGGCTCTTCCTGACCAGATACTAGCTCTGTGTCCAGAACCAGTGCTAGGCATAAGCAGGCTAAGCAATTGCTTAGGGCCCCAAGCAGCTCAAGGGGGCCCCTATTCGCTTTTTATTATAAGAACTTGCCTGTGTTAGTATTGGAGGGGGGGGTGGGGAGAATATTCCCACTTGGACCTCCAAAGGGCCAACACCGGCACTGTCTGTGCCTGCCTATTAAACATCCTTCATATTGTACAACAATCTGAATGGTAGAGAAAGCTCATGCTCATCAATGATGCAACTAGGAATAAAATAAAAGGGGTTTTAATGGAGACTAATATATATATAGGTGTATGGTAAATTATACCCCCTTCTCCTGGTCAGGTAAGATAGCAAGAAGTATAGTAAACTGAAGTAGGACAGTCTGTATCCAAATAGCACTGCCAGTGAAAAGTTAATTTAAGAAAGCTCTCTTGAGGCAACAAAGGTGTCTCTGTTAAGCACAAAACAAGACGTACATCATGAGACGTTGATGACATAGTCTGGATTAGTCTTCATGCCTTGCTGGCTGTCTCAAGTTTACTACTATTTATTATTTTATTACAATAGTATCTAGCAGCCCCAGCTGAGATCCAGGTCCTATTGTGCTAGGCTCTGTATGAACACATAGCAAGACAGTCTCTGTCCTGAAGAATTTACAGTCTAGGGTCTGATCCTACAAACTCATAAACATGAATAACACAAACTTAAAGTTAAGCATGTGCTTAAGCCCTTGCAAGATGGGGGCCTAAACAGATATGACAGCCCAGGAAGGTATTATTAGCCCCATTTTACTTAGGGAGCGCAGAGAACCAAAGCCTGTGGCAGAGCCAAAACTTGGACCCAGATCTCCTCAATTGCAGGCTAGTATTTAAACCACAAGCTCATCTTTCCTCACACATTTATTGCTATCCCATCATAGCATCACAGACTGTTGTTAGAGAGAGAAGACAGAAGCAATATTATACCTGCTACCAACTGGTACACACCGACTGGTTAACACTATCACTCCACAAGCTGCCAGCTCCTTTCCAGATAATCCACAACATTTTGAAAACTCTCTCTCTTGGACTCTAATTCTTTTCCTTGGATTCCCAAATTTATCATTGTTGAATTTAAACTCTTGCTGATGAATTCAACACCATGATCTATGGAACAGCAACGTCTGATTGATTGTTAGGTTTCTCCTTCACCTGTTTTAACCCTAACACTGTTATTTATATAAAGGAACATCAAAGTGCTTGGGATGTAATGCAATATCCTAAAAACAACATAAAATAAATATTTATTTAAAATAATCAGTAATATAAAAGGCCACGCAGTAAAAATTCAGACAAAATTAAGCAGTGGGAAAAAACAGTGGGGAAGGAGGAAAGATAATAAATATGAGGCCTTGCTGTCAGAGTAAAAAACACCATTGGAACAGAAAAGGTTAAAGGTGTTGTTATAGGTGGTGAGAAATGGACTGAGCTATATATATATGTCATTGGGGATCTAGTGGTAACTATAGCTAACCTGCCGCTGAAGACACAACAGTGGGGTTTTTACGAGGCCATAGATACCTGTCAGGATAGACTCTAGTTGTGGGAAGCTGAGAAGAAATGAACTCTGAGCATGCTAGTCCTGGGAGGGTGCTCCTAGCAGGGTAAAGCCTTCTGAAGGGGATACGTGGGAGGATTACAAGCCACAACTTTTATAGGCACATCCCTGAATGATGAGGGAACCTGCTGGAAGGTAACCAGCTCTACACAGGATTTTAGTGGCAGCAACCACTAGAAACACACAACGCTGCTGGCCTGATCCCTCACTCAAACTAAACCCCCAATGAAGTTTTGCATGAGCATGGAGCATAGTTTGGAGCCCTGCCTGTGCATTGCTGTTATTGTGCTTTGAATGAATATTCGGCTTTGTGCTGAAGTGCAGCTGCGATACAGTGGACCTGGCAATGTGAAGCATACAACACGGCCAGTGAAGTTAGGAAGAAGCTGTGTGAAAGGTGGCTATACTGCAAAGGGATGTGTTGCTGTGTGTTTTCTCTGCAGTGTGCTGATAATGAGGGGGCAGCTATCCCTCCTCCCCCCCTATGTCCTGCCATCCAGAG